ATTATGATAAATGTAGTATATTACGTATTGGATCAGTAATAAATATAATTTTTACATTACCATGTAGTTTACCAATAAAATGGTCTGATGGTGATGTGGATATACTCGGAATACATATCCCAAATGAAATAAATGATCATGCTCCAATACATTTTAATAGAAAGTTAGCAAAAATAAATAAGATCTTGCTACCATGGAAAGGTAGATACCTGTCAATTTGTGGAAACATCACCCTGATTAACTCTTTAGTATTATCCCAGTTTACCTATTTGCTTATGGTCTTGCCTACGCCTAGCAAACAGTTTTTTTTAAATTATGAGAAAAAAATATTCAATTTGGAACGGCAAGCCAGACAAAATTAAACGGGCCTATTCATATAATGAATATGAATTCGGAGGAAAGAAATTATTAAATATTAAAGCATTAGACCTATCACTAAAAGCTTCAGTCATACAAAAGTTATACTTAAATCCGAACTGGTTCTCTAGCAAATTAGTAAGATTGTCTCACCCAACTTTCAGTTATTTGAAAAGGAAATCATCTCCCAAATATCACTATTTCTAAAACAAGCCGTAGAAAGTTCGTTGCAATTTCAATTTAATCCTCCAGAAATGACAGAACAAATAATGCAACAAATATTGTGGTTAATCTCAAACATACTAATTGATAAAAAACCATTATTTTTAGAAAAAAAAGATATAATCTTCATAAATGATATCATAGGTAGGAATGGTAGAGTTATGTCGCACATGCAGCTAACAAAAACATATGGAAATGTCTGCTCTACCCAAAATTACAACCAAATAATTGCAGCATTACCGCAAAAATGGAAGAGGAAAGTGGAAGGGAGGCAAAAGTAAGGAACTTGTCTGTCGGCCCTGCATTAAAGAACATAATTGGTTAAAGAAAACTGTGATAAATAAAAAAGTATACGAGTTTCATTTAAGGACAGCCGTCCCATATAGATTGCAAAATAGTTGGGAAGAGATTTTTGACGTACCGATTCCAATGCATAGTGTTTATGAACTGATACGCAAAACGACGCCGGATTCAAAACTTAGAATTTTTCAATTTAAATAATTGTATAAAATTCTTGATACCATTAGAATGTTATTATCCCAGCTCTGCAGATTTCGCAGCAAAGAGACAGAGTCATGAGATCATTTGTTTTGGTACTGTCCATTTGTAGCTTGTTTTTGGACACAGGTCCAGGAATGGCTAAAGGATTGCAATATTTACCTGGAGCTAACCCTGCAGATATCAATACTGGGTGATCTGAAAAGTCATAGTCAATCGATCAATAATATAATAATACTTTTAGCAAAAATGTTATTTTCAATTTACAATCTGTAGAAACAATGAGAATAGAAGGGTTCAGAACTTTTGTAAAACATCTCAGTACAGTTGAAAAATATATGGCAAATATAAATCCAATATGGATGGTGTTAAGAGATAGATGGGTGGTGTTGAATGGAGTTGAAGGATGGGACTAATAACAAGTAACAACAACTAAAAACAACAAGATAACTAATGTAAAGCATACTGTGTCCATAATAAGTATATAGGTTATAGGTTGAGAGTTTTTGTGAAAGAGCACAGTTAGAAAGATATGGCATATAGAAGCAAACCGGATGGACATCATGAAAATGATCGGAGAGGTTGAGGGTAGAGGAAGTTACGGAGTAAAAACAAACAAAATATAATTATTGTAAAATTGACTGTGTCCATAAAATGTATATAGTATGTATAAGCTGGAAGTAGAGGCATTGTTGTTCACTAGTTTACTCCAATTAGGGAAGGGGTGGTGGGGTTGGAAAGTAATAAAGGGAAATATTTTTTTTTAAAGTATATGTATATATATGTATGTTTATGTTTGTGTATGTGTATATGTATGTGTATGTATATGTGTGTGTATATATATATATATATATATATATATTTGCGAGAGATAAAAAGCATATGGGGGATTGGAAGTGATGCAGACAATTACATTGATGGAAGTTATAATCTATCTGCAATATTAAAGCTGATCTACCCCCTAAAAAAAATATATAATAATACAAAATAAAAATAATAATTAAAAAAAGTCTGGTGTAAGACAAGGCTGCATCCTCTCTCCAATCCTTTTTTTTGTTACCATCAACGTTAAACAACATCTGACAATGCCTGAGGAATCCAGTAGACCCTCTTTTCACATCTAGAGGACATCCACCTCCAGGAAAATTATGACAGACTCAGCATGTATGCTAAACAGATTGGTCTCAATATCAACATACAGAAGACCCAAGTCATGTGCATTAATACACTACCAACACCTCCAATTACCATAAATGGAGAGGCACTTAACATGTCGACAGACAAAAAAAAAAAAAAAAAAAAAAAAAAACATGTGGACAGCTTCACCTACCTTGGAAGCCTCATCAGCAGCGACAACGGAGCCAAAAAAGAGATCAACGCCCGACTGAACAAAGCCAGAGGTGCATTCAGTACACTCAAAAGTATACAGCCTCAAATCAAAGATCCGTCTCTACAACAGCAAGGTAAAGTCACTGCTTCTGTATGGTTACAAGTGCTGGAGGGTAGTCAAAACAGAGATGAGCAAGGTTGAGGCCTTTCATAATGGTTGCCTCCGCAAGATCTCAAACATATTTTGGCCAAATAAGATCTCCAACAAGAACCTGTATTGGAGGACGGGCTGCAAGAACATTGCCCTGGATATCAAGGTACGCAGGTTCCGTTGGCTTGGTCATGCGCTTAGGATGTCACCGAAAGGATCCCCAAAGTTGCCCTCAGATGGACACCAACCGGAACTTGCAAGCAAGGCAGGACAAAAACTACATGGCGAAGGACAGTGGTGGCTGAGCTGTCATGGGACATGGCCCAAGCTGTGGCCCAAGACAGACTAAGTGGCAGAAGAATATTGAGGCCTTATCTCCCACCGGGACGAAGAGGACTAAGTAAGTATGTACAAACACATTTCGCATTTGCATGACGTTTTTCAAATCAGTCTCATCATAATTAATGGTCATCTTACAGTCTTAATAATCTTAATTGAATTTTAATTATACTGAACAAAAATATAAACGCAATGTGTAAAGTGTTGGTCCCATGTTTCATGAGCCGAAATAAAACATCCCAGAAATTGTCCATACGCACAAAAAGCTTATTTCTCTCAAATTTTGTGCACAAATTAGTTTACACCCCTGTTAGTGAGCATTTCTCATTTGCCAAGATAATCCATCCACCTGACAGGTGTGGCATATCAAGAAGCTGATTAAACAGCATGATCATTACACAGGTGCACCTTGTGCTGGGGACAATAAATGTCACACAACATAATGCCACAGATGTCTCAAGTTTTGAGGGAGCGCGCAATTGGCATGCTGACTGCAGAAATGTCCACCAGAGCTGTTGCCAGAGAATGTAATGTTAATTTCTCTACAATAAGCCGCATCCAACGTCGTTTTAGAGAATTTGTCAGTGCGTCCAACCGGCCTCACAACCGCAGACCACGTGTAACCACGCCAGCCCAGGACCTCCACTTACGGCTTCTTCACCTGCGAGATCGTCTGAGACCAGCCAGCTGATGAAACTGAGGAGTATTTCTGTCTGTAATAAAGCCCTTTTGTGGGGAAAAACTCATTCTGATTAGCTGGGCCTGGCTCCCAAGTGGGTGGACCTATGCCCTCCCAGGCCCACCCTTGGCTGCGCCCCTGCCCAGTCATGTGAAATATATAGATTAGGGCCTAATGAATTCATTTCAATTGACTGATTTCCTTCAATGAACTGGAACTCAGCAAAATCGTTGAAATTGTTGCAAGTTGTGTTTATATTTTTGTTCAGTGTAGTAATGAATCCTGTTCCCAAAAGGTTCCCACCTATTCTTTTCCTTTTTCTGCCTTTGGCTTCTTTGCTTAAGAGTGTGGGCAGAGCTGCAAATGCATTGTATGCAATAGACTAAAGTCAACGTTGTGATAGTTGTCTGTTCATCGCCTAGCTTTACTAGATTAATAGATGCTTTTTTAAGGTTTCTTAAAACAGTGATTGCATCCACCATTGTTGTTTTCATAGCATGTTGGGAGTTAGCCAACGTAATCCAGTTTATTTGTTACAATCAGCCTATACAGTCAGATCTTTCTTTTCAACTCACAGTTCAGACCTGAATGATTATATTGTATTTGCAGATTGATTAGACCTGCTGAAGCATTACTTTACTCAGTAAAAATGTGGTAGTTGATTTGTTTATTCAACAGCCAGCTGTATTTTTTCTGTAGTAGTTAGTAACAATACTTTGATTTTGCCATTTAAAAACTTCTCCAATTGAAATATGTTGTAGCGGTGTTGTTAGAGAGGGGCACCTGCTAATTATTGCAGGTCTTTATAATTGGTAGAATATTCTAGGTTCATTTTCTACAGAGATTTATTATATTTATCAACATTTTTATTTCGTAGAGTGTGTTGCTATGATTGTGCACTCCTTTTCTTTGTACCTTTATTTATACAGATAATCCCAATTGAGCCCAGGGTCTCTTTTTCAATGGTGCCCTGTGTTACAACAATCCAAACAGTTTAAAGAGATACAATTACATACAGAGCAGAAATTATATAAAGTCGTTATATATAGTTGTCTTATAAAATATGAATTATATGTAATTGCACGTACAATTATTTGATTAATTGTAATTGGTGTAAACCAAAAGTTTCACCTTGACTCATCTTTAGGGTATGATTTAACCATTTACTTTCCAGTTTATCATGGATCAGAGGTGAATCACTTGCTACACTTGAAATTCTTAATTGGAGAACATGAACAAACTTGTCCTCATGGAATTATGTAAGCCATTCAGACATCTACTACTGTAGCTGTTTGTAATTTCAGGAAAGTGATATTTTTGGCAAGGATACAGCTTTATACATGTTTTACTTGACTTAACATGTGCCTGGGTAGTGTTCATTAGGGCATGCAATGGGACAAAAATTGCTACGGAGAAAGAAAGTGTTTCTTGTTGGACACGTTAGGTTCCATTTGGTGCCTAATGAATACGACCCTGTAGATTTATCAGTATGTTATGTTTGGAAAGATCTTAACCGATGGGACATTAATTATGGTTTTGTTCTGACTGTGATTAAAGTATTTTCGGGTAGATTTGTGTTCATTTTCATAGCTTTGCTTGCGGCTTCCTGCGTACTGTGCCCGTGATGTTCCCTGAAGGATTGTCCAATGGCAGAAGAACCTTGAAGGAAAAGGCACTGCGTTAACTAGACATTCAACCCACAGTGAGTAAGTCACTGAGCAACCAGTGGTGATGAAGTTGTTGAGTCATAGAAATACTGCCAACTGTTGTAGTAATAGTTGTAACATCACACTTTTTTCAAAGTTTTCCAGTTGAAAATAAGTTGAAATTAGAGGAAGAACCGCATAACAAATCAATTTCTTTCTATCTCTTCCTTAAAGGTAGGTCAATGAGAAGCATCGACTCGAAACAACAGGCCATGTGAGTATCTCTCCTGATGCAACTCACTTCATTGTTGTTGGTGAGACCCATTTTCGTCATGTCAATGGTGAAATAATGTTGGTTAGGCATGACTATCTCGATCTCTTCAACCTGAAACAGACATACACAGTAACACTTAGTGTTTTGAAACAAGGGCCCATATTCTTAAAGCGTCTCTGAGTAGGAGTGCTGATCTAGGTTTCCCCTTTTTGATCATAATGAATGATATAGCATGGACAGGGGGAGGATCTGATCCCAGATCAGCACTCCTACTCTGAGATGCTTTATGAATAAATGTAGTTCTATTTATTTGCACCAAAGAAAAAGAAGTGACAGACCACAATACCAAATAAATAAAATAAATACATTGTGCAGGTGTGGTTGGAAGCCTAAAGGCTTATATGAAAATCACACCACAAAAAAACAATATACAGTACCAGTCAAAAGTTTAGACACACCTACTCATTCCAGGGTTTTGCTTTTATTTTGACTATTTTCTACATTGTAGAATAATAGTGAAGACATCAAAACTATGAAATAACACATATGGAATCATATAGTAACCAAAAAAGTGTTAAACAAATCAAAATATATTTTATATTTGAGATTCTTCAAAGTACACACTCTTTGCCTTGATGACAGTTTTGCACACTCTTGGCATTCTCTCAACCAGCTTCATGAGAAATGCATGAAGGAGTTCCCACATATGCCTTGCACTTGTTGGCTGCTTTTCCTTCACTCTACACTCTGCAGTCCCGTGTAGCTCAGTTGGTAGAGCATGGTGCTTGCAACGCCAGGGTTGTGGGTTCGATTCCCACGGGGGACCAGTATGCAAAAATGTATGCACTCACTAACTAACATTCCAGGTGACTACCTCATGAAGCTGGTTGAGAGAATGCCAAGCGTGTGCAACGCTGTCATCAAGGCAAAGGGTGGCTACTTTGAAGAATCTCAAACAAATCAATATATTTCGATTTGTTTAACACTTTTTTGGCTACTACATGATTCCATATGTGTTATTTCATAGTTTTGATGTCTTCATTATTATTCTACAATGTAGAAATAGTAAAAATAAAGAAAAACCCTGAAATGAGTAGGTGTGTGCAAACTTTTGACTGGTACTGTACAATATATAAGTACAAAAATTAAATGTTTGTTAAAACAGATAAAAAAAACTACTAATTATAAATGTATAAATGAATTGATCAGTAATCACACAAAAAACACTATTTGTTTTGTTTAAATGTGTGTGTGCATGTGTGCATGTGAGTGTGTGAGAGTTAGGCTATAGAGTGAACCTACCTCTGGCACCCTATCCAGGACTATGACCTGTGTGTCGTAGAGGGTTTTCTGCACAGAGGGAGAGTACTCTCCACGATCGTATGGGCCAGCAAACTTCTCAATTATTGACTCCTTGACAGAGTTCCTGCAAAAAAGAGTAGCACATTGAATATTTCCCCACACTTATCAGTTTGTTCATTATTTAACTAGTGTTTGAACTAGAAAAATGGGTAACAGGTTGTTATGAAATTCTCATGGTCAATTTATTGCGTGGCCTTTTCCTGCAGTCGAATGACCAAAGCGCCCTCTAGTGTCCTCATGGATGGAATATTATTCATATTTTTCATAATTTCATAATTAATAAACATTATTTATTTTTAAACGCTGAAAATCTGGTGTTTTTATGTCAAACCGTTTTGTTATATTTCAGTCTTCTGTGATGTATATAAAGTCTATCATTGGGATGCAAAATCAACATTGAATACATTTCAACGTTACATCTGACATGGGACAGGTGTCTTCTTTTTTTTAAGCCCATAACCATGTGTACGAGGTGTATTAAATCAAATCAAATTTTATTGGTCACATACACATATTTAGCAGATGTTATTGCGGGTGTAGCGAAATTCTTGTGTTCCTAGCTCCAACAGTGCAGTAGTATCTAACAATTCACAACAATACACATTTCTAAAAGTAAAAGAATGGAATTAAGAAATATATAAATATTAGGATGAGCAATGTCGGAGTGGCATTGACTAAAATACAGTAGAATAGAATACAGTATATAGATATGTGATGAGTAAAGCAGTATGTAAACACTATTAAAATGACTAGTGTTCCATTATTAGAGTGGCCAGTGATTCCTTGTCTATGTATATAGGGCAGCAGCCTCTAAGGTGCAGGGTTGAGTAACCGGGTGGTAGCCGGCTAGTGGTGGTTATTTAACAGTCTGATGGCCTTGAGATAGAAGCTGTTTTTCAGGCTCTCGGTCCCAGCTTTGATGCACCTGTACTGACCTCGCCTTCTGGATGATAGCGGGTTGAACAGGCCGTGGCTCGGGTGGTTGATGTCCTTGATTACCTTTTTGGCCTTCCTGTGACATCGGGTGCTGTAGGTGTCCTGAAGGGCAGGCAGTGTGCCCCTGATGATGAGTTGGGCAGACCGCACCACCCTCTGGAGAGCCCTGCGGTGGCGGGCGGTGCAGTTGCCATACCAGGCGGTGATACAGCCCGACAGGATGCTCTCAATTGTGCATCTATAAAAGTTTGTGAGGGTCTTAGGGGTCATGCCGAATTTCTTCAGCCTCCTGAGGTTGAAGAGGCGCTGTTGCACCTTCTTCACCACACTGTCTGTGTGGATGGACCATTTCAGATTGTCAGTGATGTGTACACCGAGGAACTTGAAGCTTTCCACCTTCTCCACTGCGGTCCCGTCAATGTGGATAAAGGCGTGCTCCCTCTGCTGTTTCCTGAAGTCCACAATCAGCTCCTTCGTTTTGTTGACGTTGAGAGAGAGGTTATTTTCCTGGCCCACTCCGCCAGGGCCCTCACCTTCTCTGTGTAGGCTGTCTCGTCATTGTTGGTAATCAGGCCTACTACTGTTGTGTTGTCTGCAAACTTGATGATTGAGTTGGAGGCGTGTGTTGCCTCGCAGTCATGGGTGAACAGGGCGTACAGGAGGGGGCTGAGCACGCACCCTTGTGGGGTCCCTGTGTTGAGGATCAGAGAAGTGGAGGTGTTGTTTCCTACCTTCACCACCTGGGGGTGGTCCGTCAGGATGTCCAGGACCCAGTTGCACAGGGCGGGATTCAGACCCAGGGTCCCGAGCTTAATGATGAGCTTGGAGGGTACTATGGTGTTGAAGGCTGAGCTATAATCAATGAAAAGCATTCCGACGTAGGTATTCCTCTTGTCCAGATGGGATAGAGCAGTGTGCAGTGCAATGGCGAATGCATCGTCTGTGGATCTATTGGGGGCGGTAAGCAAATTGAAGTGGGTCTAGGGTGTCAGGTAAAGTAGAGGTGATATGATCCTTAACTAGCCTCTCAAAGCACTTCATGATGACAGAAGTGAGTGCTACGGGGCGATGGTCATTTAGTTCAGTTACCTTTGCTTTCTTGGGTACAGGAACAATGGTGGACATCTTGAAGCAAGTGGGGACAGCAGACTGGGATAGGGAGAGATTGAATATGTCCGTAAACACTCCAGCCAGCTGGTCTGCGCATGCTCTGAGTACGCAGCTACAGATGCCGGCGCAGGAGGGTAATCACCGAATGCAGAGTTTATTCCGTCGTACACCAATAGCGCTGGATAGTGACAAACGAAACAGGCACAGGGGAAAATCTACCCTGGCAATAGAAGGTAACGGTAGCTCCAACAATAACAGGCACAGGGGAAATATCTACCCCGGCAATAACAAGGTACGAGTAGCTCCACCGAGCTACACTACTCTCACAAATAAACAATCACCCACAAGCACAAGGGGGGCAGAGGGAACACTTATACACAGACTAATGAGAGGATAAGAACCAGGTGTGTGTGATTGACAAGACAAGACAAATGGAATGATGAATAATGGAGCGGCAGTGGCTAGTAAGCTAGTGACGACAAACGCCGAAGCCTGCCTGAACAAGGAGGGGAGGCAGCCTCAGCGGAAGTCATGACAGTTATCCTCAAAGCGGGCAAAGAAGATGTTTCGCTTGTCCGGGAGCAAAACGTCAGTGTCCGCGACGTGGCTGGTTTTCACTTTGTAATCCGTTACTGTCTGTAGACCCTGCCACATACAGTGGGGAGAACAAGTATTTGATACACTGCCGATTTTGCAGGTTTTCCTACTTACAAAGCATGTAGAGGTCTGTAATTTTTATCATAGGTACACTTCAACTGTGAGAGACGGAATCTAAAACAAAAATCCAGAAAATCACATTGTATGATTTTTAAGTAATTCATTTGCATTTTATTGCATGACATAAGTATTTGATACATCGGAAAAGCAGAACTTAATATTTGGTACAGAAACCTTTGTTTCCAATTACAGATATCATACGTTTCCTGTAGGTCTTGGCCAGGTTTGCACACACTGCAGTAGGGATTTTGGCCCACTCCTCCATACAGACCTTCTCCAGATCCTTCAGGTTTCGGGGCTGTCGCTGGGCAATACGGACTTTCAGCTCCCTCCAAAGATTTTCGATTGGGTTCAGGTCTGGAGACTGGCTAGGCCACTCCAGGACCTTGAGATGCTTCTTACGGAGCCACTCCTTAGTTGCCCTGGCTGTGTGTTTCGGGTCGTTGTCATGCTGGAAGACCCAGCCACGACCCATCTTCAATGCTCTTACTGAGGGAAGGAGGTTGTTGGCCAAGATTTCGCGATACATGGCCCCATCCATCCTCCCCTCAATACGGTGCAGTCGTCCTGTCCCCTTTGCAGAAAAGCATCCCCAAAGAATGATGTTTCCACCTCCATGCTTCACGGTTGGGATGGTGTTCTTGGGGTTGTACTCATCCTTCTTCTTCCTCCAAACACGGCGAGTGGAGTTTAGACCAAAAAGCTCTATTTTTGTCTCATCAGACCACATGACCTTCTCCCATTCCTCCTCTGGATCATCCAGATGGTCATTGGCAAACTTCAGACGGGCCTGGACATGCGCTGACTTGAGCAGGGGGACCTTGCGTGCGCTGCAGGATTTTAATCCATGACGGCGTAGTGTGTTACTAATGGTTTTCTTTGAGACTGTGGTCCCAGCTCTCTTCAGGTCATTGACCAGGTCCTGCCGTGTAGTTCTGGGCTGATCCCTCACCTTCCTCATGATCATTGATGCCCCACGAGGTGAGATCTTGCATGGAGCCCCAGACCGAGGGTGATTGAGCGTCATCTTGAACTTCTTCCATTTTCTAATAATTGCGCCAACAGTTGTTGCCTTCTCACCAAGCTGCTTGCCTATTGTCCTGTAGCCCATCCCAGCCTTGTGCAGGTCTACAATTTTATCCCTGATGTCCTTACACAGCTCTCTGGTCTTGGCCATTGTGGAGAGGTTGGAGTCTGTTTGATTGAGTGTGTGGACAGGTGTCTTTTATACAGGTAACGAGTTCAAACAGGTGCAGTTAATACAGGTAATGAGTGGAGAACAGGAGGGCTTCTTAAAGAAAAACGAACAGGTCTGTGAGAGCCGGAATTCTTACTGGTTGGTAGGTGATCAAATACTTATGTCATGCAATAAAATGCAAATTAATTACTTAAAAATCATACAATGTGATTTTCTGGATTTTTGTTTTAGATTCCGTCTCTCACAGTTGAAGTGTACCTATGATAAAAATTACAGACCTCTACATGCTTTGTAAGTAGGAAAACCTGCAAAATCAGCAGTGTATCAAATACTTGTTCTCCCCACTGTACATCTCGTGTCTGAGCCCTTGAATTGCGACTCCACTTTGTCTCTGTACTGACGTTTTGCCTGTTTGATTGCCTTATGGAAGGAATAACTACACTGTTTGTATTCGACCATGTTCCCAGTCACCTTGCCATGGTTCGCGCTTTTGGTTTTGCATGAATGCTGCCATCTATCCACAGTTTCTGGTTTGGGTAGGTTTTAATAGTCACTGTGGGAACAACATCCCCTATACACTTCCTGATGAACTCAGTCACCATGTCCGTGTATACCTCAACGTTATTCTCAGAGGCTACCCGGAACATATCCCAGTCCGCGTGATCAAAACAATCTTGAAACATGGATTCCGATTGGTCAGACCAGCGTTGAATAGACCTTAGCATGGGTACTTCCTGAGTTTCTGCCTATAGGAAGGGAGGAGCAAAATTGAGTAATGATCTGATTTTCCAAAGCGAGGGCAGGGGAGGGCCTTGTAGGCATCTCGAAAAGGCGAGTAGCAGTGGTCTAGTGTTTTTCCTAAGCGAGTACTACAGTCAATGTGTTGATAGGATTTCGGTAGCGTTTTCCTCAAATTTGCTTTGTTAAAATCCCCAGCTACAATAAATGCGGCCTCAGGATATGTGGTTTCCAGTTTGCACAAAGTCCAGTGTAGTTCCTTGAGGGCCATCATGGTATCGGCTTGAGGGGGAATATACACGGCTGTGACTATAACCGAAGATAATTCTCTTGGGAGGTAATACTGTCTGCATTTGATTGTGAGGTATTCTAGGTCGGGTGAACAAAAGGACAAGAGTTTCTGTATGTTATCACAATCACACCATGAGTAGTTAATCATGAAACATACACCACCGCCTTTCTTCTTCCCGGAGAGTTCTTTATTCCTGTCTGCGTGATGAACTGAGAACCCAGCTGGCTGTATGGATGGGGACAGTATATCCTGAGACAGCCATGATTCCGTGAAACAGAGTATGTTACAGTCCCTGATGTCTCTCTGGAAGGAGATCCTCGCCCTGAGCTTGTCTATTTTATTGTCCAGAGACTGAACATTAGCGTGTAATATACTCGGAAGCGGTGGATGGTGTGCACTCCTCCTGAGTCGGACTAGAAGTCCACTCCGAATACCTCTTCTCCGCCGGCGGTGTCAAGGAGCAGCCTCTGGGGTAAATTAAATTGCCCTGGGGGGTACGAACAAAGGATCCAATTCACGAAAGTCATATTCATAGTCGTAATGCTGGTGATTTACCGCCGCTCTGATATCCAAAAGTTATTTCCGGGTGTATGTAATAACACAAAAAACTTTTTGGGCTAATAATGTAAGAAATAACACACAAAAAAACAAAATACTGCAAAGTTGCTTAGGAGCTAGAAGCAGAGCTGCCATGTCTGTCAGTGCCATCTTACATCTTACTTTTGTTTCAAAGTAGATTTGTTTAAGAGTACCAAGAAATCTGTGTGACCCTGATTTAGCCCACTGCAGTAAAAGATTAATCAACAGCTTTGTTTCCAATGTGTAAATTATATCTGTTTTACATATCACGTGTTAGGTCAAGCGTATTATGGGGCACTATGTACAGTATTAATGAACTCAACTGTTCCTTTTCACAGGTCATTAACTCAGGGAATTACCATGCGCTGTCAAAGTCGACATTCTGGACCTTGTTGTAGCGCCACCTGGCGTAGACAGAGGTACAGAAACACCTGTCCTTGGCCTCCTGTAGAGTGGTGAAGCGGTCTCGGAAGAAGCCCTCGAAGCCAGACTGAGTGGTCTTCAGCACCTTCATGTTCTTCACGCCACTGTGAAGAACAGGGCTCTCTGTGGGGGAAGGTCAGAGAGGTAAAGACCAGGGTTGTGTTCATTAGGGCAAACAACAAAAAAGTGTTTTGCAATGGAAAATGAAAATCCCTGTTTCTAATTGGACAAGTACAGATTGTACCTCCCTGTTTTACTCAGTTTCAGAGCATTTTCTTCCGTTTGGTGCCTAATGAACATGACGTTGATTTTAGGTTCACCACCCATCATTCAAAGTAAACCATCATACATACAGATTAGATAATAAGTTGTTCATGTGCTAAAGGTAGATTCTGATTGTAAGATATCTTTCACATAGCTGTGTCTAGTATGTAAAGTGATGTTATTAGCTCACTAGGTCTAAGAGCTTGAAATAAGACATTACAGTACTGTCACATTTTCATTCAATCTTGAGTATGTCTGTGACAAATCAACTTTGTGTGTGTTTTGCTCACCATTAAGATTTTGTTCGACTTCACAGAAGCGGCAGGATTCAGGGCTGTAGATGAATGCATGTGCATGCTCAACACCATTCTGTGCAAGAAAGACAAGCCTCATTTAAATGCATCACTATTAAAGGTTAAAGGTTACTTAATCTATGTATACTTTTACAGAGTATACATGGGGCTCACATCCAAAAGCTTATCTATATCATAGACTTCATTCCAAACAACTTCCTTCTCCCCTCGAAAAGTGTCCCTGCAGAGCTGAAGGGACTGAAGTGTTGGCGGTATGGTGATATCGCAACCTATTTCTCACCCCAATAGACTAAATGGAGATTGCACCCTATTGCTTTCACCTATCTAGACCCTTAAGATGTATTAGGGCAAGACGTCAAGGAAAGGCTTTGTGTTTTGGACTTTGAATCCAGCCTTATTCTACTGTACCTTCTCCAGTCTCCTCCATGGTGCCTCCTCAATCTTCACGTTTACCCTGGTCACATGTTTGAAAGCTGTCAGGAAATGTTCGCTGATGTCCATGGCAAACTGCTCTATGGTCAAAACCTAAACAAACACAGACTTAGTATCACTGAGGTTTCCTGTATTAAAGTCAATTGGAAAGACCTAAAATGATTAAATTAGTTTACACCTATCTTTCCGATTCATGTGAGACTGACGCATTTTTGTTGAATTTACACAACAGAGTATGAGAAATGCTAGCCTGGTGGAACCTCTTAGAAGGATTCCAGGTTAGAGAAATGCACTCATCTTGACAGTAGACCACCCTTTAGGGGTGTCTAACAAACTGATATTGAAGTGAACTATATCACTAAGGCATTTTGGCTACCCATTCCATTTGCAGTGCTTTCATTCATTCAGCATTTTGCCATCTACAGTGGGGAAAAAAAGTATTTAGTCAGCCACCAATTGTGCATGTTCTCCCACTTAAAAAGATGAGAGAGGCCTGTAATTTTCATCATAGGTACACGTCAACTATGACAGACAAAATGAGAAAAAAATATCCAGAAAATCACATTGTAGGATTTTTTATGAATTTATTTGCAAATTATGGTGGAAAATAAGTATTTGGTCATTAACAAAAGTTTCTCAATACTTTGTTATATACCCTTTGTTGGCAATGACACAGGTCAAACGTTTTCTGTAAGTCTTCACATGGTTTTCACTCACTGTTGCTGGTATTTTGGCCCATTCCTCCATGCAGATCTCCTCTAGAGCAGTGATGTTTTGGGGCTGTCGCTGGGCAACACGGACTTTCAACTCCCTCCAAAGATTTTCTATGGGGTTGAGATCTGGAGACTGGCTAGGCCACTCCAGGACCATGAAATGCTTCTTACGAAGCCACTCCTTCGTTGCCCGGGCAGTGTGTTTGGGATCATTGTCATGCTGAAAGACCCAGCCACGTTTCATCTTCAATGCCCTTGCTGATGGAAGGAGGTTTTCACTCAAAATCTCACGATACATGGCCCCATTCATTCTTTCCTTTACACGGATCAGTCGTCCTGGTCCCTTTGCAGAAAAACAGCCCCAAAGCATGATGTTTCCACCCCCATGCTTCACAGTAGGTATGGTGTTCTTTGGATGCAACTCAGCATTCTTTGTCCTCCAAACACGACGAGTTGAGTTTTTACCAAAAAGTTATATTTTGGTTTCATCTGACCATATGACGTTCTCCCAATCCTCTTCTGGATCATCCAAATGCACTCTAGCAAACTTCAGACGGGCCTGGACATGTACTGGCTTAAGCAGGGGGACACGTCTGCACTGCAGGATTTGAGTCCCTGGCGGCGTAGTGTGTTACTGATGGTAGGCTTTGTTACTTTGGTCCCAGCTCTCTGCAGGTCATTCACTAGGTCCCCCCGTGTGGTTCTGGGATTTTTGCTCACCGTTCTTGTGATCATTTTGACCCCACGGGGTGAGATCTTGCGTGGAGCCCCAGATCGAGGGAGATTATCAGTGGTCTTGTATGTCTTCCATTTCCTAATAATTGCTCCCACAGTTGATTTCTTCAAACCAAGCTGCTTACCTATTGCAGATTCAGTCTTCCCAGCCTGGTGCAGGTCTACAATTTTGTTTCTGGTGTCCTTTGACAGCTCTTTGGTCTTGGCCATAGTGGAGTTTGGAGTGTGACTGTTTGAGGTTGTGGACAGGTGTCTTTTATACTGATAACAAGTTCAAACAGGTGCCATTAATACAGGTAACGAGTGGAGGACAGAGGAGCCTCTTAAAGAAGAAGTTACAGGTCTGTGAGAGCCAGAAATCTTGCTTGTTTGTAGGTGACCAAATACTTATTTTCCACCATAATTTGCAAGTAAATTCATTAAAAATCCTACAATGTGATTTTCTGGAGAAAAAAAATCTCAATTTGTCTGTCATAGTTGACGTGTACCTATGATGAAAATTACAGGCCTCTCTCATCTTTTTACGTGGGAGAACTTGCACAATTGGTGGCTGACTAAATACTTTTTTTCCCCACTGTACTTTTCAGATGATCATAGCTGTCTTCCCAAATGAAATGAAACTCTTTCTACGTGTCTAGTGTGAGTGCACAGTCACGTACTCCCTTCAGCTTAGCCAGTGCATGGACCGTGTTCTTGACAGTGTCAGTGGGGATGATGTCCGAGTTGTCACCGGTCAAGTAGTCCTTGCGAGACTTGAGGGTGAGCTCCACATTAGCTGTCAGCTCAGTGATGTAGTGGTGAGTCCCCTCTCGTCTGATATACAACACCTTGACAAGGTTTTTGCCATAGCCGGTCCGCACAAACTCCACATTCTACAGAAACGTCAGAACATTGGGGTTGGTTGCACAAAGTACTGTGACAGTAATAATGATAATAATACATTTCATTTATATAGCGCTTTTCATTACAAGAAGAATCTCAAAGATGCTTTAAAAACCAAAATGAAGTTGATAGTTCATGCTCAGTAGACATTGTAACCAATGTTCCCTCAAATTTTTTTTGGCACTGAGCAAATTTCAGGTCTGCTGAGCGCAAAATTCTGTGCAACTTCCGACGCGCATTTACTGTGAACACTGAGGCTGTACTCACTTTAGGTTACAGTTTTAACAGCGGCCAAGTAGGTTGCTGTGGCTATTTGATCATAATGTAGACCTACCAGAGTGGCCTACCATTAAAAAAAATGGAGAAAATGTATCCCATAACATTTTAACATGGAAATAGCTGTTCTGTCAGTAGCAGCAAATGTGTGGTGTTCAATGTAGACTTAGATTCCATGAGACTTTTGAAAAAAAAACATGCAGGGCTTGACATGAACCTGTTTATCCACTTGTCCTTCAGACAAGGAGGTGACTGAAAATGTTGTGTTAGGTAGACTTTAAGAAATAAAAATAATTCTTATTCCCATACCATTATTAGAGAGAAACAGCCAAATTATGCTACCCTAATGCTATAAACACAGTCCAGTTCAAAGTGAATAGCACAGATCCATGTATGGCAATGGCTATTTGCATATAGGCCTACATCAGCTTTGATTGGATATGGCGCACTGGTCTGTGTAGAGTACGGGCCTGAGTTGTGCCTGTCATTGCAATAAAATCATATTCCAATGTGCTCTGCCTACAAGAAAATGTCTTGCATTGTTAGTTTTGCATTCTAAGTCTTGCATAGTTCATTTTGTTTCGGTTTGTTACATTGAAAGTGGCTAACGTTGCATTGATTCGATCACAATTCCCACAGTAGAGTGAAACGTTGATAGTGTTAACTAAAGGGGAAAACTCTAGAAAGTTGAGTGAAGTTCAAGCTCTTGCTTCTCTGTGCTGGCTGATATTTCTTCTGTGTGGCAGTCCGAGGGGAACTGCGCACCCACGCGCAGCTTAGAGGGAACATTGATTGTAACCTATTGCAGCATATCAACAATGTTACAATCACCTTTTAGCCTGTGTATCTAATGTGTAAAGGTACTATTTCTGCCTTATTACTATGAAAATATGTTGGATGCATACTAATGTTTATCTACAATCTGTCTGATAGTCCGTATTCTTATTAGCATGCCATGTTCTTTGAGGAACAATATGAAGACCCTATATACCTCAAATAAAAGCCTATCTGATATTTGTGGCATATACTGTATACTGTATTGTGTTATATTGGGCCGGACACTCAATAAATGTTATTCCTTTAATACTACATAGTATATTATAGACTAAAGAAACCGTATAGACCAGGGGTAGGCAACCCTGGTCCTGGAGTGCCGCAGGCACTTCATGTTCTTGATTTAACCGACCTGGAAGACCAGGTGTGTTGAATTTAGGCAATCACTGAACTGATCAATTAGCTCAGTTGGTCAGGTGTGGTTTCTAGTTGGAACAAAATCCTGCAGTACCTGCCGCACTCCAGGAACAGGGTTAATAATAATAATATGCCATTTAGCAGATGCTTTTATCCAAAGCGACTTACAGTCATGCGTGCATAATTTTTAATTTTTTTTGTGTATGGGTGGTCCTGGGGATCGAACCCACTACCTTGGCGTTACAAGCGCCGTGCTCTACCAGCTGAGCTACAGAGGACCACATGGGGTTGCCTGTATATAGACAGTAGAAAGCTATCATAGACAGTAAGAGCTATTTGCACGTGAAAATGTTATGGAATGCACCTATAATACAAATTCCATCAATTATGACAATTATTTAAGGCTTGGTAATAGTTTAATTGATTTAAGAGTTGGGGATTACCAAATAGTTTTTGATGTTGAAAGTAACCACCCTGTTGTCAGACAGAGAAAGTGGTTTGGCTCAATGGTCATTGACCCCACACAACAAATACTTAATATTTATGTTCTAAAGTAATCTAATGGGTCAATGTTATCGAGACAACATGAATTCAACCTTGACTGAAGACATGCAAACCTAAAAATTTTAAAGTTCTGTACCTTTTGTTGAGTTGAGGTAGTTGCCATGGTGTCTGTGCCTCCTCCAGACTCCTGATGTCCTGTAGTGTTCTTGTCTGCAGCAAGAGTGGAACAGGTCTTACCTGTTCTCATTTTAGCAGTTACGCAAGTAACTGTCTGTTGACAAATGTTGTCATATCTTTCAATTATCAACCTGTAAGCATTTGCCTTTGAAAAAAAAATATATTGCTTTGATAACCTATGGATCAGAATACTGGTAGTTCTCAAGATTATGTTGACAATTATGTCAAGTTTTTTTTTTTCTAGAAAAGGAATGTTTCAATCAGAAACAATAAATGCTTACATCCAATATAGTGCCTTCAGAAAGTATTCACACCCCTTGACTAACATTTGTATATAAAAAAACAAATAAAACACTAATATATCTTCATTACATAAGTATTCAACCCCCTGAGTCAGCGATACAGCTGTGAGTTTTCTGGGTAAGCCTTGTTCACATTGGCAGTTTGAAATTACTCAAATCCATTTTTTGGGCATATCTGATTAGAATCTGTTCTTTTTCCTGCAGTCTGAGCACCCCAAAAGCACATGGAATCGGATATTTCAAGCCCCATTTCAAACCACCTTCGTAGGTGGTTTGAAGTCGGATACAAATATGATTCCTGGCCATGCGACTTGTGTCTGAACGATCAAATCTGATTTATTTGCCCAGAAGTGGTTTTTAGACTGTTATTTGGGATATCTTGTTGCTCTCTAGCTACTCTGTTGACAGTTTGACAAGAACATGTGGTAGTTAACTAGCTCGTTTTGAAAGTTAAATCATTGTATCCTTTGAGGCTTTAAAAGTGTTCTTACACTATTTTGAACATTCAAAGCAACTGGGAAACGTCAATGGCAGGCATTGTTGTCACCTTAGCTTGTTACATACAGTGGGGAGAACAAGTATTTGATACACTGCCGATTTTGCAGGTTTTCCTACTTACAAAGCATGTAGAGGTCTATAATTTTTATCATAGGTACACTTCAACTGTGAGAGACGGAATCTAAAACAAAAATCCAGAAAATCACATTGTATGATTTTTAAGTAATTCATTTTCATTTTATTGCATGACATAAGTATTTGATACATCAGAAAAGCAGAACTTAATATTTGGTACAGAAACCTTTGTTTGCAATTACAGAGATCATACGTTTCCTGTAGGTCTTGACCAGGTTTGCACACACTGCAAAAGGGATTTTGGCCCACTCCTCCATACAGACCTTCTCCAGATCCTTCAGGTTTCGGGGCTGTCGCTGGGCAATACGGACTTTCAGCTCCCTCTATTGGGTTCAGGTCTGGAGACTGGCTAGGCCACTCCAGGACCTTGAGATGCTTCTTACAGAGCCACTGCTTAGTTGCCCTGGCTGTGTGTTTCAGGTCGTTGTCATGCTGGAAGACCCAGCTACGACCCATCTTCAATGCTCTTACTGAAGGAAGGAGGTTGTTGGCCAAGATCTCGCGATACATGGCCCCATCCATCCTCCCCTCAATATGGTGCAGTCGTCCTGTCCCCTTTGCAGAAAAGCAAAGAATGATTTTTCCACCTCCATGCTTCACGGTTGGGATGGTGTTCTTGGGGTTGTACTCATCCTTCTTCTTCCTCCAAACACGGCGAGTGGAGTTTAGACCAAAAAGCTATATTTTTGTCTCATCAGACCACATGACCTTCTCCCATTCCTCCTCTGGATCATCCAGATGGTCATTGGCAAACTTCAGACGGGCCAGGACATGCGCTGGCTTGAGCAGGGGGACCTTGCGTGCGCTGCAGGATTTTAATCCATGACGGCGTAGTGTGTTACTAATGGTTTTCTTTGAGACTGTGGTCCCAGCTCTCTTCAGGTCATTGACCAGGTCCTGCCGTGTAGTTCTGGGCTGATCCCTCACCTTCCTCATGATCATTGATGCCCCACGAGGTGAGATTTTGCATGGAGCCCCAGACCGAGGGTGATTGACCGTCATCTTGAACTTCTTCCATTTTCTAATAATTGTGCCAACAGTTGTTGCCTTCTCACCAAGCTGCTTGCCTATTGTCCTGTAGCCCATCCCAGCCTTGTGCAGGTCTACAGTTTTATCCCTGATGTCCTTACACAGCTCTCTGGTCTTGGCCATTGTGGAGAGGTTGGAGTCTGTTTGATTGAGTGTGTGGACAGGTGTCTTTTATACAGGTAACGAGTTCAAACAGGTGCAGTTAATACAGGTAATGAGTGGAGAACAGGAGGGCTTCTTAAAGAAAAACGAACAGGTCTGTGAGAGATGGAATTCTTACTGGTTGGTAGGTGATCAAATACTTATGTCATGCAATAAAATGCAAATTAATTACTTAAAAATCATAGGTACAGTTGAAGTGTACCTATGATAAAAATTACAGACCTCTACATGCTTTGTAAGTAGGAAAACCTGCAAAATCGACAGTGTATCAAATACTTGTTCTCCCCACTGTAACTTCTGAGTGATAGGAAGCTTGAGCACCACCACCAATCAGCCTACACCACTGCGCACACACCCGCCATTACTATGACAACTAGCATAGCCATGTCAACAAATGACTGCTGTCTGAACACACACAAATCCGATTTCATAACTTGTAACTTGCTGTTTGGACAGTCAGTATTCCAAAACGGATTTGAAAAACAAAACTGATTTGAGCATTAAGGCCTGCAGTGTGAACAAGGCTTAAGAGCTTTCCACTCCTGAATTGTGCAACATTTTCCCATTATTCTTTTCAAAATTCTTCAAGCTCTGTCAAATTAGTTGTTGATCATTGCTAGACAGCCATTTTCAGGTCTTGCCATAGATTTTCAAGCAGATTTAAGTCAAAACTGTAACTCGGCCACTCAGAAACATTCACTTTCTTCTTGGTAAGCAAGTCCAAGCCTTGTGTTTTAGGTTATGGTCCTGCTGAAAGGTGAATTCATCTCAGTATCTGGTGGGAAGCAGACTGAAACAGGCTTTCCACTAGGATTTTGCCAGTGCTTAGCTCCATTCAGTTTCTTTTTTTATCCTGAAAAACTCCTGTTCTTAATGATTACAAGCATACCCATAACATGGTGCAGCCACCACTATGCTTGAAAATATGGAGAGTGGTACTCAGTAATGTGGTGTATTGGATTGGCCCCAAACATAACACTTTGTATTCAGGACAAAAAGTGAATTGCTTTAGTGCCTTGTTGCAAACATGATGCATGTTTTGGAATATTTATATTCTGTACAGGCTTCGTTCTTTTCACTCTGTCAATTAGGTTAGTATTGTGGAGTAACTACAGTGTTGTTGATCCATCCTCAGTTTTATCCTATCACAGCCATTAAACTCTAACTGTGAAATCCCTGAGCGGTTTCCTTCCTCTCTGGCAACTGAGTTAGGAAGGACGCCTGTATCTTTTTAGTGACTGGGTTTATTGATACACCATCCAAAGTGTAATTAATAACTTCACCCATCTACCAATAGCTGCCCTTCTTTGCGAGGCATTGGAAAACCTCCCAGGTCTTTGTATTTGAATCTGTGTTTGAAACTCATTGCTCAACTGAGGGACCTTACAGATAAATGTGTGGGGTACAGAGACGAGGTAGTCATTCAAAAATCGTGTTAAACACTTTTTGCACACAGTGTGAGTCCATGCAACTTGTTAAGCACATTTGTACTCCTAAACTTATTTAGGCTAGCCATAACAAAGGGGTTGAATACTTATTGACTCAAGACATTTCAGCTTTTCATTTTTAATTAATTTGTAAAAAATTCAAAAACATAATTCCACTTTGACATTATGGGGTATTGTGTGTAGGCCAGTGACACATCTCAATTTAATCCATTTTCAATTCAGACTGTAACAAAACGTGGAAAAGGTCAAGGGTTGTGAATACTTTATGAAGGCACTGTATATATAAACCCTTTATTCCAGCATTAAAATCATAGATTCTTTAGACTCAATAAACTGCCATAACTATACTACATGCACTCAATGTGATTCTTTTTAGAATAGTATCAAATTCCCCCAAGAATATCACTGAATTAAGCTTGCCAGAATGTTGTAAAAGATTTGACACGTGTTTTTTCCTGAGAAAAATGTCCAGGACATTCTAATATCCACAGAAGTATTCTCTTTCCAGCAGCTTCTTATCCAATCACTTCCCCCAGCTACTTGTAGGGTGTCAAGTGACTTCAGTGATAGTGTCAAACTACTAGTGCTGAGCGATTTTATTTAAACAATTTAGTTGTTTTTTTCTGTGAGCTCAATGCGCATATTGTGCTGCAGTTTCTCTAGAGATTAATAAATCATGCCCGAACTGTGCGATGTAGTAGGGAGTTGTAGTTTCCAACAGGCCAATGTTCTACATAGTTCAGCGCAGAAAACTTGATAATTAACTACAATGACCATAATCCATTGCACGGCTACTTGTCCAGTCTGTTTCTTTTACGCCTCCTACATAAGAGACAAGAATGTGCCAGCAGTTGCTTCTAGGTATAGAGCCCCACAGTGGAGGTGTGGTAATACCCATAAAACCTAGCTGTCAAACAGGGAAATAGTTCCAATCGTTTTTCTACCATTCATTTTTCTTATAGGGGATTTTAGAAACACTTAAAATAAGGGCTGTGTTTCATGTAGGCTTACCATGGTGTGACGTTTTGATAACCATGTAAATCTCTCTCGTACTAGGTGACATCAATATATTAGGCTCTATTTACACAGATTCATAAATGCTAATTAGCATCAAAGTAGACATCATGCAAAACTACAAATCCCTGCATGCTCCTGCACGTCATCTCTAGCTGACACCTTTGCTAACAGGTACTGTGTCAATTTCAAACTTACACAAGACAGTTCACGGAAATGTCAATTTAAAGAAATGTTGCCCATTTATTCATTACTACATTTAGCTTAGATAGTTAATCCAGAGATTCTTACCTTTGTCTCGATTCGGCAGTCTCATCCAGATGATCATGGCATTTGTAGTTCTTTATGATAGCCATATTAGCGTTGGATTTTTTGGGGGTAAATACAGGCGAATATATATTGATAAGTCACCTTGTCCTAGAGAGATTTACACTGTTATCAAAACATCACACCAGGGTAAGTGTCT